AGTAATAATAAATATTTTTGATATCATTAAACTGCTTGCTTAAATCCGAAATGATTTTAAATTATCCATTTGAAGGAAATACAAGAAATATTTTCCATAATTAGTTTCTACATACCAGGTGGTTGGCAGAACTGAAGCGACCATAACTATAAATATTTACAACTCATATTACTTAAATTATTTGAAAAAAACTAATAAACAAAATAAACTAAATTAAAAATATGAATAAAAATAAAAAACTTTGGAATATTTTACATATATTCTATATATTCACCGCCAAATATACAAAGATATTACAAGGACCTTAATTAAGAATTAAGGAGTTTATTTCCTTGAATATTTTACAATGTGTAATTACAATATTAATTTGATAAGTACGAAAAAAGTTATTATGATGGTGACTACTTAATACTTGACATATATATCATTGTTGGTTCTAAACTTTGTTTTTTATATATTAACAGAGGTAGTAGTGGTTTGGAAATATAAACACAAATGCAGTATAATGTGATCCTTTATTGACAACGTTTCACCCACACAGTGGGCTTTTTCAAGTCACACACGGATCTACCTGGGGTTGGAAGGTACGAGAGTATTTATAGTCAGAATGTTGAGGTCAGGTGGAGAATGCTGCATCTGATCTACCGGGTGGGGTTATAGAGTCTTGGGTAGCTTGGCAGGGGTATTGGACAAGTTGTAGACCTTCTGCAGTGTTCTATGTTCTTATGTGGGATAGCCATGAAGAAGTTTCTTGGCGAGTGGTTCAGCTATGTTATAGAAGCCATTGTTCTGGTTGAAATTGTTGGTTGTAGAGATGAGCGATGATTCCAGGATTCTTCTGTATTGAGTGTTGTCTTCTGTGGCTATAAGTCTTGAGTTTCTGTAGTTAATTAAATGGTTGTGTGAATTGCGATGCTGTACACAGGCATTCCTTGTATCGTCAGTCCTGCTTGCATATTGGAGTTCTGAAATGCGTGTTTGGAGGTCTCTTGATGTTTCGTCCCCACATATAATTGTTGCAGTCATTACAAGGGATTATGTATACCCCTGCAGGGGATGGAGGCTTGTCCTGTCTACTACTGGTGATGTCCTTGATGGTCGTGGTTGTGGAGGTAGATACTTGGAATGATGTTTTGGCAAAGATGTTGGAAACATGTTTGGCAATGGAGTTGGTGGGAAGGACTATGTATCTCTTCTCCGGCAGTGTCTTCTCTGGGTGTGTTGAAGATGTTTAATGCCCGCCGTCTGCAGTCTCTGATGAAGTGACGAGGATAGTGGAGTTTAGAAAATACTTGTTCAATTATAGTGCATTCTTCCTCAAGGAACTCATTGCTGCAGATTCTGAGTGCACGTAGGAAGAAGCCTATAATTATACACCACGTTTAGTTTTGGTGTCGTGGTGAGAGTAGAAGTGGAGAAGATCGTTTTGGTTGGTGGGTTTTCGATAGACTTTAAAATGAAGTTCGTGGTCAGCTTTGCGAGCAGAACATCAAGGAAAGGAAGAGTGTTGTCGACTTCTTCTTCAAGTGTGAACTGGATTGAAGGCTCGACCTGGCTGAGCTTGTCTTGGAGAGCTTGAACGTTGAAGCGTTTAGGAGTTATGAGGAATGTCGTCAACATAACGGAGCCAGGTGACAGACGAAGGAATAATGGTGGAGAAACGTTCGCTTCTAGATGTTCCATGTATAGGTTCGCCAGGACTGCACTGAGTGGCGAACCCATGGGTAGTCCAAAAGTCATGCTGAAAGAGGTGATTTTCGAAAGAGAAACACGTAAAGCCAGACACATAGTTCGAAACAAGGTCGATGAAATCGCTGGCTGGAATGGGAAGATCAAATGAATCGTCATTTTCCTGCGCAAGAGATCGATGGCTTGTGTAGTAGGTACTTTGGTGAATAGGAAGTCACGTCAAGGCTGGAAAGTTTCTTGTTCCTGATGTTGATGTGCGAATGCGGTTGAGAAGATCACCCGAGTGTTTGAGATGTGCTGGACTGATAGTGCCCAAGAGTTAGAGAGGTGTTTTGCGAGAATTCCTGAGAGCTGGTGGGGAGCACTGCCTATTCCGAGGATATGGGCCTCAGTGGGATACCAGGCTTGTGAGTCTTTGGCAGGCCGTACATTCTGGCAGGTCTGGGTTGCTGGGCATGGTGTGCAGAAGTTCTTCCTTGTTCCAGAATGTACGGCCTGCCAAAGACTCACAAGCCTGGATCCCACTGAGGCCCATATCCTCGGGAAATAGGCAGTGCTCCCCACCAGCTCTCAGGAATTCTCGCAAAACACCCTCTAAACTCTTGGGCACTATCAGTCCAGCACATCTCAAACACTCGGGTGATCTTCTCAACCCGAATTCGCACTCAACATCGGGAAACAAAAAAACTTTCCAGCCTTGACTGATTTCCCTTTTCCCCAAAATCCCTATACACAAGCCATCGATCTCTGCGCGGGAAAAATTGACGATTCACTTGGATTTTCCCATTCCAGCCAGCGATTTCATCGCCTTGTTGAACTATGGTTGGCTTTACGTTTTTCTTTCAAAAAATCACCTTTTCGCAGATTTTTGGACTCCCCAGGGGTTAGCCCCAGGCAGTCCGGCGAACCTATACATGGAACATCTAAAAGCCGAAGTTTCTCCACCATTATTCCTTCGTCGCACCGGCTCCGTTATTTTGCGACATTCTCCTATAACCCCCAAAACCTTTCCCCGTTCAAGCCCCAAGAAAAGCTCCCCGGGTCGAGCCTTAAATCCAGTTCACACTTGAAGAAGAAGCGACAACACCTCTTTTCCTTGATTTTCTGCTCTGAAAAGCTGACCACGAATTTTCGTTTTAAAGTCTATCGAAAACCCACCAACCAAAACGATTTCCCCACTTCTCTCTCACCACGACACCAAACAAAACGTGGTGTAATTTGGGCTTTTTCCCCACTCACTCAAACTGAGAAATGAGTTCCTTGAGGAAGAAGCATAAAATTTGAACAAGTATTTTCTAAACTATACCCTCGTCTTTTCATAGAGACTGCAGACGGGGGGCATTAAACATCTTCAACACACCCAGAAAGACACGCGAGAAGAGATACATAGCCTCCCCAACCCAACCCCCTTGCCAAACATGTTCCAAAATCTTTTTCCCAAAACATCATTCCAAATATCTACCTCCACAAACCCCGACCACAAAGGCTCCCCCGTAGTAGACAGGACAAGCCCCACCTCTGCAGGGGTATACATAATCCTTGTAATGCTGCAACAAAATTTTAGTGGGCGAACATCAAGAGACCTCCAAAAAACGTTTTAGAAAACAAAGCAAGCAGGACTGACGATACAAGGAAGCCTGTGTACAACATGCAAATTTACACAACCATTTAATTAACTACAGAAACAAGACTTAGCACAGAAAACAACATCAATACAGAAGAAAACCTGGGAAAATCGCTCACTCTACAACCAACAATTTCAACCGAACAAGGCTTCTATAAATAGCGAACACTCGCCCAAAAACTTCTTCATCGCTATCCCCCCATAGAAATAAACACTGCAGAAGGTTTCTCACAATTGCCAATACCCCTGCCAAATCCCCAAATCTAAACCCACCCGGTAATCATCAATGCGCATTCTCCACCTGCCTCACATTTGAACATGCCTATAAATACTCCGTACCTTCCAACCCCCGGGAATCCGTGTGTGACTTAAAAAAACCCACTGTTGGGTGAAACGTTTTTCAATAAAGGGTCACATTAACTGCTTTGTGTTTATATTCCTTTTTCGGTTTTTAACCCTTTTCTTAAGAGTGGTTTAGCGTTTTAACAAGTATTAAATAATTAACGTTATATTTTAGCACTTATACAAATAAAATTAAGATTTTGGAAGGATATAAGAAAGATTGGGAAAAACTAAGAAGAAAAGAACATAAAAACGGAGGAAAACTGCAGCAGGGTACTGGCCCATGCGGGCAGGGCCAAATCTCCTACCGCTTCCGGAGTTTTCCCGGA